CATACATGGGTACATACGGACCTAACCCTTTAACAACACAAGGTTTAGAAAACTGGACTCTTTGCATAGTCAAAAATCCTCATGTAATTTTTGTTCATTTCTCTATATCCACTTATTCAGCCAAACCTATTAAAATCATACAAACTTCCATAATTGTCACATATGCTTTTATATGGGTAATGCAACTCATAGTTTTTCTTTTAGGAAAACAAGAGAAAATTACTTGAGATAACATATGTTATTGAGAACTAATACTTTTAATAAATGAAGTTCTCATTAAAGAAATGGAATTTCCAAACGTTTCTAATCCAAAGTTAGGAAAATTCTGAACCTTATTATTCTATTCAGTCACTAAGTTGTGTGACTTAGTTTTCTGCCTCTCATTTTCTGCCACTAGAGTGGTTGTGGTGTGACTTAGTTTTCTGCCTCTCATTTTCTGCCACTAGAGTGGTTGTGGTGTGACTTAGTTTTCTGCCTCTCATTTTCTGCCACTAGAGTGGTTGTGGTTGAGGTTGTGGTTGCTGTTGCTGTTGTTCAGTCCCTCGGTCATGTATGACTCCTTGCGACTCCATGAACAGCAGCAGGTCAGGCTTCTCTGTCTTTCCATTGTATGGATTCTATCAAACTGATGTTAAAACCGGACCCTGGTCACTTTGGTCTGTTCATGCCTAAGAATCACTAAGCAAAGAATGAAATTTTTTCAGTTGAGGTGGTTGTTCTTACCAAAGGGAAATTGATCTAGATTCTGAAATAAACATGAGGAAGCCTATGTCTGGAATCAAGCGATTCCTAAGGACTTTCTTAGTATTAGCATGTCCTGTGACTAAAATCAATTGACATCTACAAGAAAACAATCCAAGCAGGACTACGAATGGTCAGACCCTCAGGAATAAAGTTTAGGGTTATCCAGCCAGGTGAAGAACCAGGACCAGCTGACAAGATTGCTGAGGGTGAAGGGAATAGAAATGGGTAATAGAGATAAAGTAGTTATAAATACCAGTGAGAAAAGGTGACCACTGTAAAAACATGTATTTGGTTGTTATGAGTATTTCTTTTATTCTGTTTTGAATAGGTTAGAGTGCATTTATGATATACATGTATCTACTGATGTAGACCATTATCCTAAATGTGGGGCCCTTCTTGTTGACTATCAGTGCATTTCGACAATTAAAAGTCCAAAGATGCAATAAATTGTCCCTCCTCTGCCATAGTTGTACCCACAAGACTTTGTCAGTATAGCTTCATGCCATCTCCACTCTCAAGGAGACTCTCAGTCCTTCAGGAAAAGTCCTTCAGATCCACTTTCTTCTCCTTGCTTTGGATTTGCCCAGGAACCTGGCATTACTTTCCCTTTGGAGTGAAAGTGCTTCTTTACCAACTGCCCTTTAGCAAGCTACTGTCTTGGATATGGCTGTGCTAAGTCAGGTAGGACCCAGGATGCTAGGAACTAGGGTGTCTCTTCAGCTGCTGACTATACTGAAAAGGCCTCCTTGGGAGAGTCCTGCCTGTTGTGTTTCTTATGATACAACCTCACAGGACAGTAAGGTCCTATGTGAGGACAGTGTGGAGTCAATATTCACTTTGAACTTTGCCCCTAGGATTCTCCTAGAGAAATGACTAGTAAATTGAGACTTTTTGGGTAGAGGAGAGGACTCAGTCAAGTGAGCTGAGAACAACTCATCCTCTCAGTAGAGTCTGTCCTTGTCCAGAGAATAAGAGCTCAGCTGCATGATGCTGTGGATCTGTCTGCTCAGCTCATGGAACATCTGTTTTGTAGGCAGAAAGAATTGCTGGGAAGCTACCTATAGATGTAGAGGGTGCCCACCCCTGTCTTCAAGCCATTTTCACTGACCTGGGGAAGGATATGTTGACTTTTGGGGATAAAGTCCACTTGTACCTCCATCTTTGGTCACCATGCACATCATTTCCTGTGTTCCAGCCTTGTTAAACAGTTTTCACTTTCTCCACCTAGTCATATAGTCTCAGCTTGGGACCTCTGAACATGCAGTCACTTCTGTCTGAATGTTTCTCCTTGTCTCCTTATTTCAGTAATTTCTGATCATCCTTCATGTCTCCACTTACATGCCTCCTACTGTTCCTCCTCCAAGAACTCTTTCAGCCTGGATCAGGGACCTCTTCTGGTTCTCACAATGCCCCAAGCTTGTCCCATTATAGCCTTCGTTACTTTATTTGTGACCATGTATTATTTGTCCCTGTTTCCTCCACATGCTGATCTCCATGATGTCAGAGAATGGAACAAACTAGTTCACCATAGTCCTGTCCAAATCCTAGCACATAGTACAGTGCTGGCTCTGTGTAAAAATCAAAGTTCTAATGAATGGATAAACCAAATGTGGTACCTCCTCAAAGTGGAATGTTTCCAGACTTTCAAAGACAGAAATTCAGACACATGCCACAATACAGGTGAACCTTGAGGACAATATGCTAAATGAAATAGACCATTCACAAAATAACAAATACAGGATAATTTGACCTTCCCAAAATACTCAAGTATCTAGACACCAGTAGTTAAATGGTGGTTTCCAATATATGGGGATAGATGGAAATGGACAGCTGTTGTTTAATGGACACAGAATTTCAGTTTTACACTTTCTAGAGATAGGTTGCAAAACAATATGAGTATATTTAACACTACTCAACTTTACATTTAAAAATAATTCCATTCATAAGTTTTATGTGACATTTTATCACAATCTAAAAATTCAGTTCAGTTCAGTTCAGTCACTCAGTCATGTCAGACTCTTTGCGACCCCATGAACCACAGCATGCCAGGCCTCCCTGTCCATCACCAGCTCCCGGAGTCCACCCAAACCCATGTCCATTGAGTCGGTGATGCCATCCAACCATCTCATCCTCTGTTGGCCCCTTCTCCTCCTGCCCTCAATCTTTCCCAGCATCATGGTCTTTTCCGATGAGTCAGCTCTTCACATCAGGTAGACAAAGTATTGGAGTTTCAGCTTAATCATCAGTCCTTCCAATGAACACCCAGAACTGATCTGCTTTAGGATGGACTGGTTGGATCTTCTTGCAGTCCAAGGGACTCTCAAGAGTCTTCTCCAACACCACAGTTCAAAAGCATCAATTCTTCAGCACTCAACTTTCTTTATAGTCCAACTCTCACATCCATACATGACTGCTGGAAAAACCATAGCCTTGACTAGACAGACCTTTGTTGGCTAAGTAATGTCTCTGCTTTTTAATATGCTGTCTACGTTGGTCATAACTTTCCTTCCAAGGAGTAAGCGTCTTTTAATTTCATGGCTGCAGTCACCATCTGCAGTGCTTTTGGAGCCCAGAAAAATAAAGTCAGCCACTGTTTCCAGTGTTTCCCCATCTTTTGCCATGAAGTGATGGGACCAGATGCCATGATCTTAGTTTTCTGAATGTTGAACTTTAAACCAACTTTTTCACTCTCCTCTTTCACTTTCATCAAGAGGCTCTTCAGTTCTTCTTCACTTTCTGCCATAAGGGTGGTGTCATCTGCATATCTGAGGTTATTGATATTTCTCCCGGCAATCTTGATTCCAGCTTGGGCTTCCTCCAGCCCAGCGTTTCTCATGATGTACTCTGCATAGAAGTTAAATAAGCAGGGTGACAATATACAGCCTTGACATACTCCTTTTCTTATTTGGAACCAGTATGTTGTTCCATGTCTAGTTCTAACTGTTGCTTCCTGACCTGCATACAGATTTCTCAAGAGGCAGGTCAGGTGGTCTGGTATTCCCATCTCCTTCAGAATTTTCCACAGTTTATTGTGATCCACACAGTCAAAGGCTTTGGCATAGTCAATAAAGCAGAAATAGGTGTTTTCTGAAACTCTCTTGCTTTTACAATGATCCAGTGGATGTTGACAATTTGATCTCTGGTTCCTCTGCCTTTTCTAAAACCAGCTTGAACATCTGGAAGTTCATGGCACAGTTCAGTTCATGTACTACTGAAGCCTGGCTTGGAGAATTTTGAGCATTACTTTACTATTGTGTGAGATGAGTGCAATTGTGTGGTAGTTTGAGCATTCTTTGGCATTGCCTTTCTTGGGGATTTGAATGACAACTGACCTTTTGCAGTCCTGTGACCACTGCTGAGTTTTCCAAATTTGCTGGCATATTGAGTGCAGCACTTTCACAGCATCATCTTTCAGGATTTGAAATACCTCAACTGGAATTCCATCACCTCCCGTAACTTTGTTCGTAGTGATGCTTCCTAAGGCCCACTTGACTTCACATTCTAGGATGTCTGGTTCTAGATGAGTGATCACAAGACTGAGGGGGTGAAAAAAGGTGTTCCAGAAACAAATTCATATATACATAAAATTTGGTATATAATGAAGCCTCCAATTCAAGTAAGTTAGAAAAAGATGATTTAAAATGATGGAGAACCCATTTCAGTTTGCAAAAATTGACTACTGTATTCAGTAAAGAAATAAAATTAGCCAAAATAAAATTGTAAACTCTATAAGATTTCAAATAAATCATGAGAAATTTAAGTGTAATGTAGATTATTTACCCAAGCATACTTTGACTCTTACTGCAAGTCTATAAACACAAGAAAAGACACAAGAAAGATTAATCTGAAATTTTCTTAGGTCTAAAAAGAGCTTTCTAAGGTACAGAATTGGCCTAAGTTACAAGGATATGCTTATTGTATACCTAATGATGAAAGAAATGGCTATATTTAATAGCAAACGCCTTGAAAACAGATAATTTGACACAGAACACTTATCTGTGAGTCTGGATGACTGAGGGTAGTTTTACAAATATATTCTTAAAAACAGAGCGAATTCTTGAACAAACAGAAATAAGGCAATTTTGATGGTTCCTAATATCCGAATGAATAAACATATATTAGTACTATTCTGTTTCTGAGTTTTTTTGTTCAAAGACAAAATTGTGATAGAAACTTATGAGATAAAACCTCAATGCCTATTTATCTTAATATCTACTTCATTCCTGAAACCTTTCAAAGAGTTCTTCTCAGGTCTTCTAAGAATAATGTAGCACTTTAGGACAAAGATACAGCTTAGAAGCCCAGCACTGGAGGCCAAGATGGAGAAGATCTCCACAGCCACCATGACCTTGCCCTTGGTGCTTGTGGTAGACTGGGAGAAAGGTGACCCAGATCCTGCAGAACACCAGCATGGTGAAAGTCAGGAACTTGGCTTCATTGAAGGTGTCAGGCAGGTTCCCGGCCAGAAAAGCCAAGGATAAAGTCCCCAGGGCTAAGGAGCCCGGGTATCCCAGGACACAGTAGAAGGCAGTGACTGAGCCCTTGTTGCACATGATAGTGAGCTCTTTGGGGTCAGAATGAGTGTCCATCTCAAGGAACGGAGGAGAGGTTCCCAGCCAGACTCCACAGATAATCACTCGGATCAGGGAGCACATGGGAATGACATAGTTAGAGGCTCCTGTTACCTGCAGTCGCCCCATGGTTCTTCCTGGTGTCCTGGCCTTGAATACCAGAATTACAGTCAAGGTTTTGGCCAGAACAGTAGCAACAGCTACAGCGAACACAGCTCTAAAGGTGATTTGTTGGAGGATGCAGGTGGCTGTGTTGGGACAGCCAATGAAGAGTAAGGAGCAGGAGAGGCACAGGAGGAGGGAGATGAGCAGGACATCCCTGAGAGCCCCGTTATTGGCCTTGACTATGGGGGTGTCTCGGTGCGTCACAAAGATCCACGAATCCTCAGCTGTGATGACACCAAAGCACAGAGCCATACAGGCCAGTGACATCCCCAAGAAATCCTTGAAGGCCAGGAAGGTCAAAACTTTTGGGAGGCAGCGATTCCTCTCACTGTTTGGATACTCTTGAGCTGGACACTGGACACACTGCTCTGCATCTGGGGAGAAAGCAGACTCAGTATTTATTTTCAGAATTTGTTCTTTTTCCCCATCACCTTTCCTGTCACTATATGTGCTGGTAACTCCTGATATTACTGTCAGACACCTGAAGTTTAGATTCTACTCCTGAGCAAGTCACAATGCTTTTGGGTGCAGATAAGGCCAAATTCACGTAAATTTAATCTTCGGCATGTGTAGAGGTCAGGATGGATGATCTGTGCTCAGTCAGTGTCACCAAATTCCTTACTATTTTCTCTATTATCCCTAGCGTACAGGCAACAAAATTGAAAAATAACAGAAAAATTTCACTTCATCCAAATTAAAACTTTTGTGCATCAAAATCCCATATCAAGGGAATGAAGGGGCAACAAAGCAAAAGTAAGAAAATATGTGTAAATCTTCATTTAAGGGATTATATCCTCAATAAATGAAGAATTTCTATAACCTCGCATAAACAACAAACAATACAGACCAATTAAAAATGAACACAGAACTTGTGTAGACATGTCTCCAAAGAAGCTATATATATATGAAAGGATGTTCATCAGTACTACATGTTACAACATGCGAAGCAAAACAGTGAGACACCGTTCTGTACCCATTAGGATGACTAAAATAAATAATTTTCAAAATGTCAGGTGTTGAGAACTGTAACCTCTGCACATTGCTGGTGGTAACGTAAATGATTCAGCTGTAAAAGAAAATTGTTGGGAGTTCCTCAGAAAACTAAACATGGGAGAGCATCAAGGTAGGGAAATGGAAGTGGAGCTCACTTGGACCTGTCAATACATCATGAATACATGTAAGATAGTTTTTATTGGAAACAAACTGGAAACAAGTAGAAAATATTCTTATAAAAGTAAAACTGCAAGAAAGAACCACACAGACTCAGAAGTGGAAGAGAAGCTATCAAGTCAGGCCAACAGTCCTAGAGCCAACAAGAAAGAAGAGGAGGATCACACAGGCTCAGAAATCCTCCCTGGGGAGTGAATATATCAAAGTACATCTTGGGTGTTCCAGTTCTGGAGTCCAACACTGGACTGTGGGTAAGTGTTCACTAGGCTGGTTGGAAAAGCAGTGAGACTGAGAGTGAGTCTGTAAGAAACCTAGATTCTGCTCATGAAGAGTGCACATACACACACTCTTCCAATCTCATGGAAAAAGGCAAAGGAAGCACACTGAAATTTTCTGGGATTCTGGCTAGTTTCTCACAACTGTTCCACTGCTTCAAACCCCAACTCATGTGCCAGTTATGGCCCTTCTTGCTCCACAGTGCAGCTCCATTGTAGGATAAGACTGCTACAGATGTGGAAATGGGGAAAAACCAGCTTGAAACTGGTACAAAATCTAATCTGGATGATGCCACTAATTACAAATATTAATGGTAAGCAGCAGAGTGAAAGCATCAGGAACTGTGACCAATCTTCCTGGACTGCAAGTGCACACACGCTTGAACACAACGGATACCTATTTCATACCTTTTTGTTTCAGCACCGCCCCTCTCAGGGGCAAAAGTGCCGACTTGGAAAGAGGTGAGAGCAAACTTAGAGCAAATAGAATCACTTAGAATCAAACCTCAGTGCTTCTACTCCAGACATTCTGGCCTGATCTGATCCCCACTTGGGTAGTGTTGATCACTGAACAGAAAAGAAGACCCTGCTCATAAAGGACTCTATCTTTAATTCCTCAATCTTCTGCCCCACCTCCTACAACAGTGAGAGCTGCCAGCATCCCCTGAGAAGAAGATATGAATATTGCTCACTTCTGATCCAGTTCCTCCACCAAAGCCATTGGGTACATGTAGACTTCTATAGATGCTCTAATGCACAATGGCATCTGTTCAAGGCAAGAATAGTCATCTGTTTCATCTAATTTCACATAGGCAGAGAAAGTTAAGCAACATGGGAATAGTCTCAAATAAAAGAACACCAACAACAAAAGAAACATTTGTTAAACTGACAAAGGAGCACTTAAATATATGAATCAAATATTAACATGCATCAAGGGAGAAATTGACAATGACAGTATATTAGGGGAACTGAACAACCTACGCACTTCAGTGGAGAGATCATCCAGGTCAATAAGCAAATAGTGCCCTTAAAAAACACATTAGATCAGACTTCAAATCTATCTACTGGATATTTCATCCAAAAACAAAAGAGTACACCTTCAGTTCAAGTGTCCATAACATGTTTCTGGGCTTCCCAGGTGCCACTAGTGGTAAAGAATCTGCCTGCCAATGCAGGAGATGCAAGAGACATGGGTTCAATCCCTGGATCTGGAAGATCCCCTGGAGGAGGAAATGGCAACCTGTTCCAGTATTCTTGTCTGGAATATTCCATGGTCAGAGGAGACTGGCGGACTATAGTCCATGGGGTCGCAGAGAGTCAGACATGACCGAGCAACTAAGCACAAGCATGTTTCTGGACCAGATGACGTAATAGGCCACACGTCTCAGCTATTTTAAGAGGATCAAAATTATATCAAGGACTTTGTTGACCTCAATGGTATGGATCTACAAATCAGAAGGAAAGATAGGGATCATGGATTAAAAGATATAAACTACTAAGTATAAAATAAACTACAAGAATATATTGCTCAACAAAGGAAATATAATCAATAGTTTATAATAACTTAAATTGAGTATCATCTATAAAATAGTTAATCACTATATGGTACACATGAGCTAACATAACAATTATACATCAATTAAAAATGTAATAATCAGAAAAATTCATCATAGAAATGCTATATAATTGAGCAAATCGCCTTCTCTGTCTATACTCAAAGGAACTGAAAGCAGTAACATGAATAGGTACTTAAACAATGCTCTTAGCACGAACACTTACAATAGTCAAAAGATAAAAGCAATCCAAATGTCTTTAATGGACAAATGGATAAATAAAATGTGGTATATTCATACAATGAACCATTATTCAGTCTTAAAAAGAATGCATTTTCTGACCCAGGCTACAATGTGGGTAAATCTTGAAAATATTAGCCTAAGTGAAAGAAGTCAGGCTACCAAGAGGAAATACAAGATGATCCTACCCAAATGAGGTAATTGGAGTCTTTAAGCTCATAGACCCTAGGAGAGGGGATAAGTGAGAGTAACTGTTTCAAAGGAACAGAAATTAAGTTAGATATAATGAGTTCTCCAGAGGGATAGTGGAGATGATTGTACAACAATGCAAATGGATTTAAGGTCCCTCGGTTTTAATAATGCTTTAAATGGTAATTTTAAAAAGTATTTATTTATTTGACTGTGCTGGGTCTTTTTTGCTGCCTGGGCCTTTCTCTATTTGTGGTGAGCGGGGTCTACTCTCTAGCTGTGGTGCATGGGCTTCTCATTGCAGCATCTTCTCTTATGGCGTAGCACAGGCTCTAGAGTGTTCAGACTTCAGTAGTTGAGGTACATGGGCTCAGTAGTTGTGGTTCCCAGACTCTAGATCACGGGCTCAGTTGTTGTGATGCAAACGTTTACTTCCCCATGGTATGCAGGATTGTCCGAGACCAATGATCAAACCTGTGTCTTCTGCATTGACAGGGGGATTTTTAGGCACTGAGCCAGCAGGGAAGTTCCAGTAAATTTTATATTATGTATAATATACCATAATAAAAACAAATAGTACAAAAGAATAAATAAATGTGTGAAGAGATTGGTTCATGACTCCTTTATCAATGCCTTCACTTTCCTTTTCACTGGAAAAAAAAGTGGAGTTATCATAGGGTAATTAAACATTTTTATACCTGTGTGGTTGGAAATGTGTCTCTCTGGTCAAAAAGCACAAATAAAGCAACAAAAAGGCCTTCCTTCTTGTGGAATTTTCCTATATCCTGAAATGCAACTCTGGCTACAGAAAGATTTAGGTAACTGAAAGGAAAAATAGAGAGTCATTGGTCATAATTCTGCACATGATTAGATGCTATCAGAGGACATCTATATTTCTCCCAGAAGAAGAAAGGATGTCTCACTTTCTATTTCATTGCTGTGTGTGCTCCCCACTCCCTGCTTGGTTGATATCATCTAGACATCTAAGTGTGGGTTATGAGGTTTGTGTTACCTCTGTCTTTCTTTTGAAATATTTATACAGACAACCAGAATTTTATAAAATTATTTCATACACTCCTGGCAACATACCTTGTTTTCCTCTTGTTTAACCACCTCACACCAAAATTCGATCAAGGCACATTTTCATAACTTCAAGAAACAATAAATGTAGGGTATGAAGAGACAAAGTATCAGTATGTGTGGTGAAATGAAGATTATGATCCAGTTCTGCATGCCTGATCCAAGTATTGCAGTTTTACCCAGAAATAACACATACACTAAAGGCATTTATCATTGTTTTATTAATCAACAAAATATTACTGTGGAATTTTCAACTAAAGTGAAAGGAAATCGTGTTCAAAGTTTTGACGTACATAGTAGAATTGTTCAATGATCAAAGGACATGAAAATGACCTAAGGAATGTATGAAAGTGAAAGTGAAGTTGCTCAGTTGTGTCTGACTCTTTGCGACCCCATGGACTGTAGCCTACCAGACTTTTCCATCCATGGGATTTTCCAGGCAAGTGTACTGGAGTGGGTTGCCATTTTCTTCTCCAGGGGATCCTCCCATCCCAGGGATCGAACTTAGGTCTCTCACATTGTAGGCAGACACTTTTCCCTCTGAGCCAGCAGGGAATGCATAAATGGAATTTTTAAAAATAGTTGAATACTTAATCTACATGTAATTATTTAAACATAAGTAGAACTTTCACAATACATAAATAAGGCTCAGAGTTCCCACTACATCCACGACCTTTATTCATTGCACTCACTCAACTGCTGTATGAATACATATGCTGAAATTTAAAATAACTGTCTGTACAAACATGCTTATTCTAGACAGTGACTCGTATTGTATGTAAGATTACTTAGTATGAAGTCTAGACATTGCATTCAAAGAGTGAATATAGGAAATTACATTGTGTTTGCACACACAACCTACAGAACTGAGGTGTCAGGCACAGTCATTGCCCACTAGGCACTCTGGTGTGAAGCAATAGGCACAATGCCTCGGCATGGAGTACCCTGTGAACAAGTGAAACTAGATCAGGCGC